CAAAAAAAAAAAAAAAAAAAAAAAAAAAAAAAAAAAAATAGGGCTCATGTTAATATCTTCATATTTTATGTCCGAAAGTTAGTTTACTAAGTTTAAGTTAAAGTGATGCCTTTATTTCCATAACTGACAAGATTGGTCCCTTAACTTTCAAATTTCTACATACCCAAATATGATTTTCTAGTCTCTAATCATGATTCAACCTTAAATGATAAAATTCATTAGAATTAAGTCCATATTTACATGGGTTTACTCAGGCGTCACCCTTAAATTCTTTTGGCTAACTTATTATCTAATTTATTAATTAAATTTTAATTTAGCAGTTTTTACATAAACTAATACTACAATTTTCAGTCAAATATTTTAGGAAAATCTCCAATAAAGTCTCAAATTTTAGACTAGTTTACGGTTTAATCCCAAATTAAATTTTGTTTACAAAAATGACAAAATACCGGCTAAAACTTCCGAATAACTCTTTGTGGCCGGTTTCACAGATTTAGCCAATATTTCGACTTTTTTCGTTAATTTGTCAAAATATTGGGACTTTTTCGTTAATCCGGCTAAAACTTTGGAATAACCCTTTTATCATTATATTAAAAAAGGTTTGTTTTTCAATAAGTGTATTTTTTTCATTTTTTTTAAAGATAACGTTATATATTCAATTTTAAAGTCACGAAATTTAGAAAAAGTATCTATACAATGAAAAAAAAATAACAAAACTTCATAAACTTGTTTGAAAAGCTTTATTGGAAGATAGAGTACTCCATGATTGAAAAAATGAAATTTATACAAAATTATTGTATATTTTCTTTTGATTTCAAGATTTGTCTAAGTATTGGGATAACAACCAAACATATGTAATAATACTAATCAGGTATATTTAAATCTATGAGACAACCTTTCTCGTTAATACTCATTTTCTATTGAATCATGCACTTCAACACGCTCATGTTAAACTTGTACCTCAATTTACCAAGGACAGTAGTAACATCTTTGTAGCAGCTAGTCTTGCCTTGGCTAGACCACAAAACACATATTCGCTTGAAGTTTGATACCCTCATTTCACACACACGCACACATGTTCCAAATCAGAAACTTTTATGCGTGTGCGCGCATATAAAAAGGAAAGACAAAGATCTATATGAGGGGTATGTGTATGTATCCCTTATCGCATCCTTCCCAATTCTGCAATAGATAGAAAGAAACAGAAGGAGAAAGAGGGCAGATGGATTAAGGTTTTAAACAACCAATAGAATGAAGAAGAAAATGAGTATTAAGGAGAAAGGTTATCCAATAGATTTAAGTATATTTGATTAGTATTATTACGCATGTTTTGTGGTTATCCCAATACTTACACCAATGTTGAAATCAAAAGAAAATATACAATAATTTTGTATGAATTTCATCTTGCAATCATGGAGCACTTTATCTGGGGTAAAGGTTTTCAGACAAATTTATGAAGTTTGTTAGGTGTTTGGATTGTATATATACTTTTTTCTAAATTTCGTGACAATTGAATATATAACGTTGTATAAAAGAAATGAAAAAAATACACTCATTGAAAAAACAAACCATTTTTAATATATTGATAAAAGGGTTATTCTAAAGTTTTAGCCAAATTAACGAAAAAGTCCTAATATTTTGACGAATTAACGAAAAAAGTCGAAATATCGGCTAAATCTGCGAAACCGGACACGGAGGGTTATTCTAAAGTTTTAGCCGGTATTCTGTCCATTTGTAAACAAAATTTAATTTGGGATTAAACCGTAAACTGACCTATAATATTAGGACTTTATTGGAGATTTTGAGCGAACTCCAGAACCCTTGAGTGCATTTTATGGCTTCTAGACCATGGTGGTGGTTAGAAAGATGGCTTGCATGACTTACTTTGATATTCATTCCTTTGGTGCATCCATTAAGAACGTAGGTTTAAAGATCTTGCTTATTGGGATGGCTTAAAGGATAAAGTTGGAAACTTTATCCATCAAGACCTTTGGAAGGATCAAATTTAAGCTTTTGAGCTCTGGAGATTAAGGGTTAAGAGCTTAATCCATTAAGCTATTGGAACCACGTCCCATGAGGTGACGAGTTGTTTGCCACGATGTAGTGGTTAGTGTCACCGCGACTGTTTTGGCGTGTAGCCACCACGAC